TTCTAATAGAATCAAGACAGTGTGACACACTTCTCAATTGATGAAAAAAAAAAAGAAACGAACTTCTATTTCTTAGCAGTTGTCTAATTGAGCCTCAGATCTTTGTGAATTAGTGAGGTAGCACTATTCTCCCCATGTATGGATGAGAAATTGAAGACATGGCCAGGATTACACAACAAGTTAGTGGCAAAACCTGTAATACACTGATTTTGTGGCCAATTGATTTATTTATCCTTGGAAACAAATCTTTTTTCCTACTCATCATTTTCAGGATTAACTTTGCTCCAAATGAGTGGGTTCTAAACCTGATCATAGAACACCATTGCATCTTGGTGGGTAATGACAAAACTTTTACCAGGAATTTCACTCATAATGTTACCTAACCAAACTTGGGTCTGCTAGCCTGCTGTGCAGCAAAGCCAGTCTACTGACACCAGGTTGAGGTGAAGGAGTCCAGCATTTACTGTAGGGTGTCAAATAGGGAGAACAGACAGCTTATGTTCTAAAGACCAGAAATCCCAGGTGGCTTTCAGGGGAGGGTTTTTTTTTTTTTTTAGCAACATATATAATTCCTTCTCTCCTTTATTTATTATTATTATTATTTTTTTTTGCGGTACGTGGGACTCTCACCATTGTGGCCTCTCCCATTGCGGAGCACAGGCTCTGGACGCGCAGGCTCCGCGGCCATAGCTCAAGGGCCCAGCCGCTCCACGGCATGTGGGATCTTCCCGGACAGGGGCACAAACCCGTGTTCCCTGTATCGGCAGGCCGACTCTCAACCACTGTGCCACCAGAGAAGCCCCCACTTTGCTTTTCTAATGTATAACACCTCAAAATATTTTTTAATGTAAATCAGCCTTATTTGGTTGTTGATTTAAGATAAAGTCTGACTAAAAATTTCTAACCACTTTCCATTTTTTTTCAACAGTAATTTTACACGGATACCACATTTAGCTGGAACAGAACAGAACTTTCAGCTTGCAAAGCAAATTCAATCTCAGTGGAAAGAATTTGGCCTAGATTCTGTTGAGTTATCCCATTATGATGTCCTGTTGTCCTATCCAAATAAGACTCATCCCAACTACATCTCAATAATTGATGAAGATGGAAATGAGGTAAAAAGAAAGAAAGAAAAAATAAGCCCCCCTGGTCTACTATTTCAAAATACCTTATGTGAAAGAATGCCCTCTACCATGTCCAAATACTGATAGAAATCAATATTGACACTTGTGAATGATGCCTTTTATAATCTTATTACTGGTGCCAACTCTTTCTTATGATGTTTGAATTTATGTGATGTTGGAAAGATTGTGAAAAATTGATGTTTGATGACACTTGCTATTTTCTATTTTTTAGTATTGTACACTAATATAAAATATGATATATCAGTAAACTTCTAAGCAACTAAATTGATACATTTTTGAAAGGTTCGGACTATAAAAGATCATGCATAGCTTTGAAGATGCTAGAAAATTCAGAGAAGTGCTGTTTGAGCTAGCAGGTTTTTATTGCTACTTAATGATTAAATCTCATATGATCATGTGTTCAGCTCTGTGCCCAGAAGTTGGGTGTGGTCATTTGGAAGGAGGGGAATTTGGAGAGAAATACTATAGAATTATATCTACACTAAAGAATTTACAATCTTCTTTGCTAGTTAGGGAACTTGGGGAAGAAGATAATACAAGTAATTGAGGTATTTCTTATCACGATATATATTCAATATGAAAGCTCATCAAATATGACTCAATATTCATCCCTATTTGCCTTACAGCTACCATATTTAAAGTA